GGGTGGCAGAGGAATTGCTGGGGAGTTATGGTCAGTCTGACAGGAATGCAGAAGGCCATGCCGAAGCACAGGAACAGTGAGTACACAGCAGGATCTACAAGGTTTTCCTCTTTRAAATGAGTAGATCTGGACCAAGTTTGTCCTGCTGCTGTGGGCTTCTGCAACCAACAGCAAGACTGGAAGGTACTTGCCTGTTCATTAGTGGTGAGAATAAAATATCTCTGAAGTCAGACATATTTATACATGAGGGCATGTTGCTAAGCACAGCTTAAGAAAAATAAATAAATCACCTAAAGAAGGCACATGAATTTAATCTTACATGGGCATTGCTTTTACAAAAGAAAAGGCCTTTTAAAAATTGTGCTCTATCACTGTCTCTGTGCATTTCCATGTACAACTTGCTGGGCTGCAAGTTGAGCCTTATTGGTGACCTGAATGTTCCAGATCCAGTTTCCAGCTACTTTAATTTTTTCAGCTTATGAGTGAAAGCATGTTTCACAGGATTTTTTGCAAGTGATGAGTATAGTCTGTCAGTCTGTAGTCTGAGTCTGTCTTCCTTCCCTTCCTATCCCACTCTGCCTTTTGAGGTTGTTGATTTCCTGGTGGTCTCAAAGGTTGTGCAATAACATCTCCTATCCAGGACACACGCAGACTGGCAGCAGCTCAGCTCCTTGGGTAAGAAGGAGCAAGGACTGGCTGCATTCACTGCTTTTGGGGATGAAGACTCCTTCCCTTTCCAGTACAAGTCTCAGTTTGGATGACATTTTCAGTGTGTGATGTTTATGTTAGGTGAAGAGGGTGCGGTATTTGGGGTTTTATTCCACAAACACTTGTAAATGTGCAGTAAAGCAGCAGGTTCCTGCTGAGCCTTGGTGGCCAAGCAGTGAGACATGCTGGCTTCGTGGGCCTGGCAGCAGAGTGCCACCAGCTAAGGCTGTTTTCAAACAAAAGGTGTAGGTGCCACCAGTCTCGMAGCTGTCTCCAAGTCCAGTTTTGGTGTGGCATCTGATGTCTTCATCCCTTCCAGCTGCACTTCAAACACACAGRGAGCTTTTTACTTTGGGGGAAAGAAACAGAGACAGCCCTCAACGCAAGGAAACCTTGAGTGTATTTCTTTGTTCAGGCCTTGGCTTCCTTGTAATTAAATGAGTCATAAAATTGCTCACATACAGTTCTGCAAACAAACACAAGAATGTGTCATATTATTAAATCTTGTTGGGTTTTGGTGTTTGGATAGGTTTTTGTTTTGGGCTTTTTTTTTTTTTTTTTTTAATATAGCTGGCATGGAAAAAGCTGTGGGAGCTTTGGGAACAAACTGTGAGCTTTGTACTTGTGCTTGTGTAGCAGGAGTTCTGGTTTGCATTAACTCGGGTACAATGTGACACTGGAGGGTGAATTTCTGAGACATGATTCAGTCTGTGCTTTTTCCTGTAATCTAACTTGTGTAGTACTCCAGCACCAACAAGAACTACTACTTGTTCTGCTTATTCCTTATAAGTAGAAACCACAAAAAGATGAGGAATGTCATGCTCACTCCCCATGGCAGCTACAGAGTGGACAGATAAAAGGAAGTCATGGCTGACTGAAGAGTTCAAAAATAGTACCTCATTGCCCCGGGGGAAGCAGCAATACCAGTGAATACACAATTTTAAAGTAGCCAAAGATATGCATGTATTTGTGACAGAGTCAACAGCACATTTACAAAGTAAAAAGAAAAAGAAAAAAAAAAAAAAAAAAAAAAAAAAAAAAAAAAAAAAAAAAGAAAATGGGCACTTTATGTTTAGAAGCCTGCAAAAAAACGAGATGGCTGCTCAGTGCAAGGGGTCCTGCCAATGTAATCTGATATTAAATACCTGTACTATTTTGAATTTGTGGTCTTAAAAAGGTAGTATTGTCTAAAAAAAACAGAGAAGGAGGTTGGGAACCTTCCTTGTGGCAGGGACTGAATTTTATTTTATTGTGGATTGATTCTCTGCAGTGTTCTTTGATTGTCACAGGGAGCAGGAGAGCTCTGAGAGAGCTGCTGGTGCTCCTGTTTAACTTAAGCAGGTGTTTGCATTTATCAGAAGAACGAGGCCCGTAGAAGCTGCTAGAACAGAAATGTAGTTGTTCACATGGAAATAGTCCGCTTTGGGGGATTTACTGGCAACAGTGGAAATCCTGCTGAAACAAAATGACATTGATAATCTATGTTTTTATGCCCAACTCTGGGGGGAAAATAAGGAAACATTGGCTCTGAATACATAATCTTTTGGGAAAAGAAACATCACACCAAGCCAAACAGTCATTGTACACCTGCTCCAAAGCAGAGAGAAAAAAAACGTCCCTAAGTGCTGCKCTTTGACATGCTCAGTAATCTGGCACGCATTTCTTCATGTATCCATGCTCCCCACAGTCATTCTCTCCCATGCAGTTTTCTTGTTATCTTCTAGAACTATCACTGAAAGCCAACTTTATTAATTGTTTTGCCAGCTGTTCTCAGACTACTGGAGGTAGAACTTGATACACCAGGCAGAGAGAAACTGTTTGGTAACATTGGYGAAACCACTCATAAATCAGAGCTGAAGACAATTTGTTATTGAACATATGACAAGAAGTGCATGTGCATGTGTGCTTAAGTGTGTAAKGTTTTTAAAGGAGAGTCTTCAAGCTGTTAAGAGACAGCTGTAAAAGTTCTCTGCTACCTGTCCTGCTGCTCGATCATGCAATTATAGTCTCGGCGCTCTTGCTGTTGCTGAAACGGGCACAATTYCTCTTTATCAAAGCGGGAAGGAGAAAGAACAGATGTTGATGCCAATGCAGCCACAGGCAGGTGGCAATGTGACAGGACAGTGTCACTGAATAGTTGTTTGTGAATATTTCTGTGGTTTTTTTTTTGTCTGTCGCGTGTTGCATTTCTACTGCGGCAGAGGCGAGCAGCGCTGCTGCAGGGACATGGCAGCGGCATCCTCCGCAAGCACTTTGACATTGTTAACRACACTTGGACCCAGCAGTTTCTGAACCTGGCATTTTAAGGCATTTGCAGTGCTGGACAAACGAGGAGTTAATAATCTTGCGCATTTATATAGGACTGGTCAATCAGGGACAAATTACATTTGAAGTAATGAATTTTAATGGACAGTAGTGTGATGCTTTCCCCAGCTGCCTCTTGTTTCCTCTCTTTTCTGGTTATTCATAAATGTGCACACCTCCACTGCCTCAGGGGAGCAGTGGTTACACTCCATGAAGTGTTAATTTTATGTCAAGGAACCCATTGGGCCTTCAWCTCAATTATCACATATGTGACAGAAAAGAAAAAAAAAATCAAATTGGCGATAAATGCACAGCTCTAGCCTGGCTTCAGGGAACTCTGAGTGACTGGTGAACTGTTCTCATGATTTGTGTTATTTTTCTGACTGTTTTTTAACAGGAATCCATTTTCTTCTCCTGCATGACTTGCAGTCTTTCTGTCGTCGCTAAACTTAGGGCTGGTAATTACAATAGCTTACTTAATGTTTCCATGTATTATCCAATCCATASGCCACCCTCACTCCCTTCCAGGCACGTGTGGGACACGGTCTGTGTCTTTGTGTGTGCAATCTCTCACTGCTGCGATCACTTAAAAGACGAGGGGACACCGAGTCTCAGAAGTCTCCGTTAATCATCCACAGCTGAGCATTCACAGCTCAAATAAATGATGATTTGTTCTCAGGGCAACTGCTTCCCACAAGGAGCAAGGGGAAAGGAGAGTGTCCTTCGTCAGACACAGTCACAGCAGCAGCCGGGGCARAGGGGAGGGTGCCAGAAATGCCCGGACAAGTGCATCATCACCCGAAAAGTGTTCAGGCATTGCCACCTCCTGGCAGGGCTGCGGCGAGGACACCCAACCTGGCTGCGCAGGCCACCTGCAGATGGGCTCTCTAGCAATCCCGCAGTGCTCACTGTGACCATTTCAGAGTGAAAATTATGGGTATTTCTCTCTGTCTGATTAAGAGTCCCGTCTTTGCACAGCGTTAGGTGTTGGTACACCTAAGGATAGGTTGGACCAGGGCTTTTAAGACTGGGTGTGTCTTTGTGGGAAAAGGCATGTGGCCACCCACGCTTCAAAAAACTCAATRATTTTGTAAATTTGTGCCCTAACCAAAGGCATAATTACACTATTTTCCTGCAGTGAAAAGCACTCTTAGTATGTTATCGCCTGGTCCTTCTTCTCCACCAGCTTCCCTAAGTACACGCGGCAGTTTCCTACCCCTTAACTCTGTCATGACAATTCCTTGTGGGCCTACACCACCAAGTGGCATTTCTGAGACAAGTCAGTCTAAAAAGGCAACCAGATACAGACAGCCAAAAACCAGAAGTCCCACAAGTGGGAAGGTATGACAATCAGGCCAGATTTGCTATGTAGGAGAACAATCACAACAGAACAGGTCGGTCAGTCACTGACTGATGCCCCCGAAAGGTAAGTAACTGCTTCAAGAGTCTGCCGTTCTTCTTGTTTATTATTCAAATGCACATTCACAGCCATCTAGCCTTAGCCTTCCTGAGAACTTGAGCATGATGCAAAAGCTAAATGGAAGAGTAAGGTATTGTTGTTTTTATTTTAGAATACCTGTAAGAACTATCTGCATCTATGAGGGAGGCTCCAAGTAACACAATGTGACTTAAATCCTGCATAGCTGACATCTTTAGGGCAGAAATTCTCAGCTAGCTGATACACTGCACTGACTTCTTGCACTTCTAACCCTCCAAATCCAGCACAGTATCATTGTAAACCACTCTGAAAAGACTCAGGTGCCACAACAAAATGCATATTTTGGGATTTTCCTGCTGTTCCTGAATAGGTCCAAAAGCAGCCCAGGCTTCAGTGGGCTTATCTGTCCTGTCAAGTACTTCATGGTGAATAGGAAAATCTCAGTCCTGAACAACAATCACAATAACTCAGTRCATATACACACTCTGCATAGCATCAGGATTTTTTTACAAAGCATGTAATTATGAAAGGATTCTTGTTAAGACAGCACATTTTGTAAAAGTATCTTTAATTAAAATTTTAAAACCTAATCCATTTATTTCACAATACTTTATATTCTCATTGTAAACTTTTATTATGTAATAGTGAAGTTCAAAGTAATCAAGTAACTCCAGAAAGTGATGTTGACATTCACTCAGAAGAGCAAGAAGAAATAATCCTCCAGTTTTGTTGTATCAGACACCACTCTTCAAGAGAGTGAGAGATAAATGGAGTATATCTCTCATTCTGGGAAATTGAGTACTGTCACTTGCTGGTTCACAGAGATTTGTGCAATTTGTTTATAACTAATATCCCCATAAATGTACTAATTGCACAAGGAGAGATAACAAAATTCTCAGCAACATAATGAAAGTGACAAACTATGGCTAACTTCCACAAAAGCTGGTCTTGTAGAAAAACGTTTCTTAAAAACAAAACAAAAAAAATGTCATCTTCAAGGTAAGTCACGTCTGGTCATATTTGAAACATGGTCTATTGCACGCAGTATCTTTCAGTAGCCTGTGATTTTTAAAGAGCCTTGTACTGGACAGCCAAGACTAAACTACCAAAAGTCATCAGGAATTATTTTACAAATAGACCATAAACTTAATAATAAGAAAAAAAAATACAGTAGCTTCCACATTTATTTATAGTCCTGTCTTTTATGAAAATGATTTCACACTTTCTCATTTTAATTGCTCACACAATGTCTTTGATAGAGAAAAAAATACCACTGCATGTCTAAGAATACCCTGTTCACACAAAAATTAAACACAAATATTCTAACCAGCCATATGCAATAAATATATCTAACTCTAARTCTTATTCTTATAATCTTCTAAAATCTCTATATCTAACAGACTCACTGTATGTAGACTCCTGAGATTTATGCAAATCACAATAAAGTAGCTGCTTGCGAGTAATGAGTGATAGAAATGTTGATATTGATAATATTTAAAATGAGACTGGGCAAGCAAAGCACAAAGGTAGAAACAACAGAATCAGAAGTTGATTACAGTATTTGTTATTACTACTCCTTCACTTCCAATTTAATGGAGATGCACGCTGCATTACAGAAGAGTGATAAGAGAAATGCCTTTTCCTGAGATACCCACAGGGACTGATAACAGAACTAATACTAAGATTTTGGAGCAGACAAAAGTRGTCTTGTTGTCCATATGCCCATTGTAAAATATTTCAACTAGAGGTGAAATTTAACTGTAGAGGTGAAAATGCTGTGGTGAAATTCTCACAGCTGCTTTTAAGGAAAGGTTTGAAGAACAAATGGAAATGACTGCACAACACAACCCAAGGTGCTGTGGTACACCCAAATAGAGACAAGGAAAAGATACATCTGGAGAAGGATGAAGGAGCAGAAGGAAAGGAAAGTGCTGCTCCATCACAGGTGTGTTTTCAGAAATGCAGTGTTGGAGTTTATGTTAAAATCCAGAATTGTCTTAGGTGCTGGTACGTTTTCTTCCAAGACAAGAGAAAGCCCCTGAGTTTCCCAGTTTTCATCGGGAAAAAACACAGCTCCCTGAGGAACAGTGGTGCTCCACACATGAGATAAGGAACAAAGGCAGATGGTCACATTTAAAGGACATGATGTTTAGAAAGTTAAAAATCCCAATTCCCCTCTGCCTATTTTACTTTAAAGAAGAATGTGATTTGATTTTAAAGGGGCTTGGTGATAAAATCAAATACAGTCAGTCAAAGTGACTGACACACATACACAGTGAATTTGCTTCACAGAGAGAAATGTTTATGCTACTCTTCCTTGAGGAGAGAGAAGGCTGGAACAGTTCTATACATATAAAAGCTTATAATATTAGTGAGAGGAATCCAAATTTCAATCTGCATTCCAATACAGGAGAGAAATAGGGCTCAAAGTCATTAAACAGGTTTTACAGGAAGGCAAAATGTAATGTAAATAAAGCTGCAAATAAAATTTTGGAATGGAATGTAGCAAAATTATAAGCATCTGCTCTGGCATCCTTGCTGCTCACTTTGAGACCATTACACTTCCAATATTCTTTTGGGGCTGGATTTTGTGCAGAAGGCGAGAAAAGGCAACATTACAGAGACCAGGCTCAGCTCTGAGCTTTGCAGGTTGAAAATGGAAGTACAAAAATCGAGTTTGCTTGGTTTTGGAAAATAAACGGCTTCTCAGAGGGTTCTGTCTGGAGACAAGGAAGCTGCTGTTCTTCACGGCGTTAGTGGGAAATGTCGTAATAGTAGTTACGTAATCTCATCTCGACTGCAACGAATCCTGGTCGGTCATCAACGCTGTGTAAAGATGAAAAGTGTCATTGTGTGGGAAGGAGAGAGCTGCAAAGGTGCATGGGCCTCATAACGCTTGGGACTCTGCCTCAGTGATGGATCATTTAAAGATGCTYGCAACATTTTAAGGTTACCAAAATGATATCACAAAATTAACACCAAGTGGCAAATACTACTACAGAGCATCCAGTCAGTGGATTTACTACCATGCRTGTTACTGTGTGGTTTGTTTAGGTAGTAGAAGAAAGCAATGCTAAATAAGCTCAATTTAATTTTCTACTTCATTTACTTCAGTAGTAATCTGGAGAAAAGAATATTTGCAGTGCAATATCTGCCTTGTAATAGGTAGTACAGTCACACACATGGGTTAGACCCACTGAGAGGAGCCTACCCACACCCTATATGACTGTACCATGKTTTTTTTTATATCTGCAATTGCTTCTTTATTTGGAGAACACTATTAAACCGGCAACAAGCCCTTACAGTTTTATATTAMATAATAACGTGGTTACTCTGCCTGACCTATGCCTTCTTTTTAACATTTGTTTTCTTTCCAAAAGTAAAGATATTTGAGTACAAAAAAATAGAAACCAGTGTGCTTTATAATACATTTTTTAATAATAACAAAACCTGATCCCTTTCACTGTAGAACTGCTACARCATTCTTCGAGTCAAACCAAAAGGCAGGAATTACTTTTTGGCTGCCCTTWCTTTCTAGAGTACTAGATGTGATAAACCTAAAAAAGAAGCAAGACACCTAAAAATTTAGTACAACATCTCCTTAAAGGTAGACCTTTGTTGGACARCCCTACCCTCCAGATGGTGAACTGGAAGAATAAGTGTTATTACAGTCACTTTGGGTGCTTTCTGGAGACTTCCTACAGCTAAAAGCAACTTCAGCAAAATAGCTTAAAAGAATAAATTATGAAACAGTATAAATATATTTTTGGAACATAGGAATTAAAAAMGATAAGGTAGGCTTTATTTTTTTTCTATATTTTATGATTCTAATTTCTAAATTCTAAACTGAAAACGGAAAAAAATGTTTCTGACATATCAGGCATGACCTGAAACGATGTTTGCCGCTCACTGGTAGTATCAATCTGAATACATTCAGTAATGAGACAAGAAAAAAATAGGTSAAAGCAATTAACTATTGAAGAATAGAATAAACCTTTTGGCAACGTGATTTTGAAATTTCAGTGAAATCTTGGAAATGAAAATCAAACAAAATACAATCTAAAATGAAACGAAAATTTCAAACTTTCTTTTCAGAATACATTAGACTAAYCTTTTTGTGGACTTACTTTTTTATGATACCCTGTATTTTGCATTTAACTATTCCATCAAACTCTATTGTACAAAATGGGCATTTTGTAGTACAATCTATAACTCAAATAATTTTCACCTCAAAGTGCAATTGACTCCCTAGCTTGTAAGGTGGTTACAATTGAAACACCAGCTGAAAAGATGTATTCTGGAATAACCCCTCCTCACCCCCTTTCTTGCTATTAACCATGTAGATTTAAATATTCTTCTATCCAAAGAATCTCCCATCACACTCACTTGTATGTCCAACACAATTTCATTAGACTGTAGACTTCCATTGGACAGATTTCAGGACGTTCCATTCGTTCTCCTCTTTCAATCATCTGTGCAACTTCACCACCTTTCATTCCCTGGAACAGGGTGACCAAAACAGTCAGTCATCGAAGCTGCAAATGATTGCAGCACACAGCATAAATCAGAGGGAGGACTGGAAACGATTCTTGGGCTATCCTTTGACTCATTTGTTACAACAACTCCTTTTAGGTAGGAAAAAATATTGGTTCAAATTTGCTCTGAATTTTTACAGGAAAAACATGGCCAAATATAACCACTCACCTTATACGGTTTTTGTCCATAAGAGAAAGCTTCCCACATCAAAACCCCAAAGCTCCAGACATCACTTTTGCTAGAAAATTTGTAGAAATTCATGCATTCCGGAGCATACCATTTGACTGGCCATTTTCCATGACTTTGTGCCTAAAATATGTCATAACAGACAGTGAAAAAAAGCAGGCTAGATASAACAATAAGTAGTGAACACCACCTGCATGCACATAATCCAAGTTAACTTCACACATTTGTACTAATCACCACAGCATTTGTGATGAAGTTAGCATTAGAGAGAACTGGTAATAACTTCTTCCAAAGTTCCTACTCTTCCACTTTCAACATAATGGCTGAAATGAAATCTATGGTAAAAAAGAGCGTAGCTAAATGACCTGGAGTCATGCAAATTGCTCTTTAAAATTAGTTTTTTCCAATYATGTGCTCCACAAAGGGTAGGAGAGACATGTCCAGACGGTTGGAGTGGGTGATCTATTTCAAAGCACAGTGACTGCCTTGCAGCAAACTGAAGTTTGTCAAAATTATCCTGTAACACTGCATTGTGAATGTTCAAGTGTCAAGCTATACCAGAACAGTGGTAGGTCTAGTTAGAGAACCCTACTGCATCCTGTGGAGTTGTAAAGAAAATGGACTTTTGATACTAATTCTCAAGGCTCTGAGACTGAGACTGACAAACATCCAAGGCTGAGTTGGTGGCAGTGATTTAAGATGCCTTTTCTGGCAGCAGTTACTGTTCCTATACAGGAAGGTCATCAGGAGCATATGCTTGCTCCTCCTCTGCTGTTCTTTATGGGCTGGATTATTAGTTTTAAAGAGCTGATGAATGGGAATAAGAAGGAAGGAGTAATTTGAATTGGAAGAGCAGTGTGTCAGGAAAAAAAATACAGATATGATAACAGCATTTGTCTCCCACTGTTTACCTTATTAGATGTCACAATTATGTTAATCTCTTAAATGGGACTGAATTTAAAAGAAAGAKAAACAAATTTTGCTTAGGTTAATTTATTATTTAACAATGGTATTCTTTCAAAGTAATTCTCTCCCCTAATTCTGTTCAATTAGTCAGTCTGTTAGTGCTAGCCTACATTTTCCTTGGACATGATTAGAACCGTTTTGCAACAAACACATTTTCTCCCTTTTATGTAAGATAGATTCTCATTTCCACCACAAATTTCAGTCTTCTATTGACAAGTTTACCAGAARTAAATGAAAGTAGACAAGTAAAAGGAGGGATAAGCTTTTCCTTCCTAGCCGTTTCTTAATGTTAATCACATACTATGAACACTGGTAATTTAATACCAGGTTATAAAATAATGAATGATACTTTCAACTTGCAAAACCAACTGCATTTCAACTGAAAGCAACCTTATTAAGCTATACTACTGCACAGCTTTCGTGTCTTTTTCAAACCTTACCTTGTAGTAATTTTCATCAGCACTAAGAGCTTTAGAAAGTCCAAAGTCACTAATTTTGGCATAATGTTGGGTGACTAATAGCACATTTCTTGCAGCCAGATCCCTATGAACAAAGTTATTCTCCTCCAGGTATTTCATCCCCATGGAAACCTGATGTACCAGCTCWGTTATATTCTTCTCTGTGACATGTCTGAAAATCACAATTGAATTTCAAAGAGGTCAGTAGTTCATATTCATGACTTTTCATGGAGTTCAAATGCAAATCTTTACTATGAACTTGTCCACATCACTCTGGGAACCTGATTCACCTTACGTTTAGCTAAGCTTCAATTAGAAAAGGCAGTCTAGTCTGCCTGTTCTGGGCAAGATGATGTGTGATCACATTAATAACGGAGAAATTGAAGGATACGTGAAAATTCTTTCATTTACTCAAACTAAACTACTTCAGCAGAAATATTTGAGTTTGGAGTCATGTAGAAGATAATCATGTTCCAGTGAAGAATACCTACAATTAATAATTATTACACTAACAACATCTCAATTGTAATTGTCCTTAAAGAAAAAAATAAAAAAAAAGGACCTGTATCCTATGGAATGGAATCAAAGTTTACATACCTATTTTTTTGCAAAAATCTGTTCAATGGCCCAAGTTCAGCCATTTCCATTACTAACATCCAGGCCTCAGCTTCACATATACCTATCATTCGGACAATATATGGATTGTCCAGTTGCTGCATTACATTTGCTTCTCTCAGTAATTCATCCTTTATGGCTGGATCATTACTCTCATTCTTCAAAATTTTTACAGCCACTGGCTTKGCACCCCTGCAAAAGAGAGTCCAGTTCTGGGACCAGCTGCTGAAAAATCTGTGCACTAATGCACACAATATTCATCAGATATTTCCATGCACATAGTTAAAAAACAGAATTGACATTCAGAGGAGAAAAAAAAAMAAMCCCACCATAATAGAAATATCATAYCAAATGCTCAGAAGACAGCTAGGCAAAAGAGTGAGAATGAAAAGAATCTGAGAAAATCACAGATTGTCATAAAAATGCCTTAAGAAACCTGAAAAAACATACAGGACAAAACTTTCTTGCACACTCTGGTAAGGATGACATAAAGTTCTTCTGGAAAGAAAAGCTATAAAGAGCTTTCTAAGCACTGGAGTGTTTTGTGTGYGAGATGGGAACATGCAGCATTGTATGGACCCAAGGCAGTGCTCTGAAATCCTGAGAATCCAAGCCTATTTCTGAAACCTTCCATTCATACAGCAAATTGAAAGAGTGACTGATGAGATCAACAGAGCTCAAGTGTGAAACAAGATTAAAAAAATACACAAGCTGAGATCAGAGCCCTTCAAATCCCTACAGCCTGTATTGGAAAAATAAAAATCCTTCCTGCCTCTGAAAACCTTGGTTAAAGAAATGCCTTCAACTTCAAGAGATGAGAGTGTGTACATGATCTGTCCATGCACGMAAACAGAATGCTGATAACATTTTACTGTGAAAATTCGTGAACGGTCAAGTCTGTTCCTACTGACATTGCATGATAAGAAATGTTACAACATGTTCTGTCTTCTTGAAAATCAGCATTCCAGCTTCATGAAACTGGTATTTATCACGTTTATTTTTGGGAAAAATCTCTCTGCTATAGGTAAACTGTCTATGGCACTCTACACTATTTCTGAAAGAGATGTTGTGCAGATGGGAAATGCTGTGTAGCATTATTGCTTTTGCAAACTATGGAGGAAGGCAGTGGAATTCCCATTCTACTATCCCCGTCAGGAAAGAACATAGTCATAAGCAGCATTTTCCCACTTTACAGACAAAAATGAGTGCATGTATGTACCAAGAGAGAAACTGGTGATTATCAGCCCAAATTAGTTACACTCTGTCACCCCAAATAATATGCAAAGATTACTGCTGTTCCAAAAAAGAAAAGCTACAGATTTTATATATTAGACAACACGAAAACAGAAGGAAACACTCACTTTTTCATCTTATAAAAGCCTTTCTTTACAGTACCAAAGTTGCCAGAGCCAAGTTCACCTTCCTCCAAAGTTAACAACTTCCTGTCAAGAGTGACATTTTTTGGTTTAATTTCATCTGGATCGGCATAAGGACTTTCATAGACCTCAGTGTCCATGGGTAAGGCCTCTCTCTGATCACCTGCAGTTCAWGCAATGAAAACATTAGACATCATTCTAGACATTTTTGCTGCCACAGCCAATACATTCACCTTTTCCATGCTCAAGATCATGAGTGTGTTTGACTTGTAGGGATATGACCTRCAGTCCAACTAAACACACTTCAGAACACACCAAATGGGATGAGCTGTAACTACTGAACATTTGTGCAGTGTGAAACCAGGAGCTTCCTTAACAGAAGGAGGGTTAAAGCATGACCCTTCTCTTTAGTGCTTCGCAGTGGTTATCTCACACAATTCTTCACTCAGAACATTACTTTCTATGTATTTTATTTTTGGGCACCCAACTTCAATTGCATTATGCTTGGCACTGTGGGTGCAACAGGACACAATTCTTCTTATGACGTGCAAGGATATAGTTTTCAGAGTCRAGAAAATAATAATATTCCACTTTAAAATGGAAAAAGGGGCTTTTGCTGAATTATTTTTGTTATTGATGGTGACATCTGGCATTTTCTGCTACCAGGCTTGAGTTATGATAGTGGCTGTACCAATACTTAACAGAACATGAAGYATATGCAATATAAAAAGAAATATGGGTTGACAGAGATCTCTTCCATAAAGAAGAAAATTGCATTAATGATATATATTGCTCTGCCTACCTCTTTCTGCTCCTGTAAGACCTCTGTTCCTTTGCAGCACATAAGGATTAAAAGGTGCTTCTTCTGGTGGGTGGCCAATAGTTGAGTGAAGCTGTAGCACACAAATGAAGTTTTTCTGATTAACAATGAATAGGTAAGTTAAAAGCACATTTTCCCCCCAAGGATTTTGGCATAATGGGCAAGAGGCCCTTTAGTGAGTATCAGAAAGAAAAGGATCCAAAAGAGATTATTTCATTCTGGMGGTTATTGTTAAAGCAGGCCAAAAGCACAGAAAGATATTACAAATATTTCAGAGCATTAGATAAGAGAGAATTAACTGTAGTGGGTCATGCACAAATCTTATTCTGCAGATATTAAATTTACATGTTCTTTTCAAATCTGCCATGTAACACAAGTAGTCATAAGGATTTCTCTTTAATCTGTCCTTYCTCCTTCTCCAAGCTATCTTTCCCCCTATCTCGGCCATAGAGAAGCTGCTAGCACAAATGAAAACAAAAAGCAATTTCCTGTTTCTCTTGTGGATATTATAGAGTGACTCTATTTTAAAGATGTGGAAGAAACTGGAGTAAGAAGTTACTACTTTAATAGGCTTGTGTAACATAAGGGACAAACATCATGGACCAAATATTAGGCCAGTCTGTCTGCTCTGAGGRGGGAGAAAATCACCCAATTAATTGAACATCTGATCCAAACACAATCCCTCTGCCTTTACTCTTGCCAAGGAAATAAAATGGAGTACAGAAACCATCTCATCCATTGTATGTTCTGGAGCTCCTCGCCTGCGTATGGCCCAATAAAGAATAGAGGAGAAAAACCACTAATCTGGTTGCTTCTGTTTGTGAGCTGTTGGGAACAAGGAATTACAGGACCAGTTTCTGCAGGTTAGTTCCTTTTCAACTAAAGAGAGGCAAAGCTCTAGTGGAAGCTGTCCCTGCCCATGGCAAAGGGATTGGAAKGAGGTGAACTTTAAGGTCCTTTCCAACACAAACCATTCTATGATTCGGTGAAGTTTCCTATAGTGGACTCTTGGATGCAATAGAAGTTCCATAATTTGGAAACTGCATTTAATAAGGGAAACACCTGACTTGGGCACTACAGGCCTTGAAATAATAATGGATTTGTCTGCCCAGCTGGATGAACACAGTGACATCAGGCACAGTATGAGAAATATTTCAGATTTGAATTGCCCAGTATTAGGAGCAGTGTTAAAAGGCCTTTGCTGTCAAGGCAAGTCACAAAACCACCGACAGCTCTGGGATAGGTCAAGAACAATCTCAAGAACAAGGGAGGTGTAAACCAAGATCCTTGGCTCCAATTGTGTTTTTCTAGACTGAATCACTCTGCAGGCATTCCCAGACCTGTGTCACTCTATTTCACACAGGTAATATCCCAAACYTTCACTAAGACTGGAAGCCAACTGGCATAATTTGAACTGGCCAAATGTAATCAATGTACACCAAATTCATACACCTCAAGGATCCAYTCACTGGTGAAGAGCAGATGGTAAAAACAGCCCTGGCCAAGACATAGCTGAGTCCTCAGATTGGATATGTAAAGGCATTTCTGCTCTTGGCAAACAAAAAAAAAAAAAGTCAGAAAGAATTAGATTCTCTTGCTTAACAACTGCATTAMAAAAAGAAGTACATAAATTCTGTGCTTGTAAATAAAGCTCTGCAGCTGGAAATTGGAAATCACACTGTGACATCAAGTATAACAAAATGGGTTCTCTTTCTCAGAGAGCTGCTCGTGTTTCAGAAGAATCATAGTGTTTTATACATTATTACTTAGCTTGGCCAACTAATATCTGTGGAACTAATATGTGTTATTTCAAATTGTTGCAGATTGATTAAATGGCTTAGTAATGTCTTTTTCATTAACATTCCTTCCTTCTCTCTGGAAGGAAATGGGAGACCTGGCTACCCTGGAGAAAGAGAAGCCTGAGGTTCTCAATGTCTCCCATTCCTCAGTACTCAATGGCAAGTGCTGTAGCCACACCGCCCAAGACGAGAAAGGCAAATGCAGGGACTAAATCCACTGTAGGACAGGATCAGGATTGTGATTATGTAAGGAACTTGAATGTGTACAAGTCCATGGAACCCAATGAGATTCATCTGAAGGTACTGAGAGAGCTGGCAGGCAAGTTGCTAAGCCATTTTTGAAAAGTTGTGTCAGTCAGGTCAGATCTCTCATGACTGGAAAAATGAGAACATGATGCCTGTTTTTAAAAAGGGGAAAGCAGAAGACCCAGAGAACTACGTACTAGTCTCACCTTCCTACTAAGCAAGATCATGGACCATGAAAACACTGCTAAGACACATGGGAAAAAAGGAGTGTTTGGTAACAGCCAACACGGCTTTACTGAAGGGAAATCATAGCTGACAAATGTGGTGACCTTCTGTGACAGGGTTACAGCACTGGCGAGTGGGGCAAAGCAGCTGAAATTGTCTACCTGGCTTTATTCAAAGCGTTTGGCAATGTTCTCCATGAGATCCCTGTCCYTAAATTGGAGAGATGTGGACTTGACAGACAAACCAACCTGGTGGACAAAGAACTGTCTGGATGACCACAATGAAGCGTGGTGGTCAAGGGCTCAAGGTCCATGCAGAGACTGGTGATGAGTGGTGTCCCTCAGGGGTCAGTGTTGGGGCCGATTCTGCCCCAGCACCTTTGTTGGTGACATGGACAGAGGGATCGAGGGCACCCTCAGCAAGYTGATGGCACCRAGTTGTAGGGGACAGTCAAGCTGAAAGGAAGGGACACCATCCAGAGGSACCTGGACAGCCCTGAGAGATGGACCAGTGCAAACTTCATGAAGTTCWACAAGGCCAAGKGCAAGGTCCTGGACATGGGTCAGGGCAATCCCAGATTGGGTGGAGAAGTGATTGAGAGCAGACCCYAGGAGAATGACTTGGGAGTTATGAAAAAGTCAACAAAGCAGCGTGACCAACAGAGAGAGGGAGGAAATTCTACCAGTGCTGCATCCAGCTCTGGTGCCCCCAGCACGGCAAGGACATGGAAGMAAGTCCAGAGGAGGCCACAAAGTGGATAAAGGGGCTGGAGCACCTCCCCTACAAAGATAGGATGAGAAAGTTGGGGCTGTTCACCCCAAAGAAGAGRAGGTTGTTTGGACAYCTCATAGCAACCTTCCAGRATCTGAAAGGGGCCTGCAGGAAAGGTGGAGGGAGACTGCTCATCAGGAACTGCAGTGATAGAAAAAGGAGTAATGGGTTCAAACTGAAAGAGGAAAAGTTCAGTTTAGGCAACAGGAAGGAATTCATAACTTTGAGGGTGGTGAGGCACTCYAWCAGGTTGCCAAGGGAGGTTGTRGATGCCCCTTCCCTGGAAGCATTCAAGGAGAGCTTGGATAAGGCCCTGAACAACCTGGTCCAGTGCAAAGTGTCCCTGCCCACGACACAGGGGACTCAGACTAGATGCGCTTTAAGGTCCCTTACAAGTCTTAACATTCTATGACTCCATGATTTCTGGTTGAACTATGATTTAATATTTCACAGGCACCTTTTCTGCTCCTATTAGTAACTYGGGAAAATTGTTCAGCACTCAGAAAATCTCATTTTTCTTTAGCCCTGCCAGTCATGTATTTATGGCATATAGCACCCTGCATAACTTCGAATAGGATTTTCTACCACAAATTGGAATTTTCTACCAGGAGTTGGACTTTTTCTCAAGTCAAGCAAGACTTAAAAACTCAGGCAGGAGGTATGCATCATTGCCAGTAGAGTAATCTAGGTGATAGCAAAATAAAATTTCATTTTTATTTGGCTGTCATTTTAATGCAGAGTTATTTCTGCCCTACACTTTAAAAMCAGAAAGTTTAATTCTGCAGATCTTTTTTTGGGCAGAAGGATCTTTTTGTTAATACAACTAAGATATAAGATAATAGATAACTTCTTGCATTCTTACAAGAAACAGAGAATGGGCAAAATGGTCATGGATTTATTCAGCCAGTAAAAAGGAATATAAGAAAAGAGTCCTCTAGAGRAACTTGTTAAAATTGTGGCATATAAATGAGATGGCTCCAACTATTTTAAATCTGACTTTGACAGTAAAGATTATAATTTTATAGTAAATAGTATAGTAATATTGTCATGAAGGCAATCTGTGCAGAACGCACAACTTCCTTTCAGATTAATAATTCTGATTTGAAAAAGATCAGGTTTTTTTACTGAATAGTGAAAAACTGCATGATTAATATCTYAGTAGCCATAGCCTCAATGAACTTTGACTAAGGCATCCAAATGACCACTAGGTGGCAGGAGTTCATTTAAATTGTCTAAATGAACAATTTCAAGCTAGTAACCAGACTGAAAAAAATTGATCTGGATCCTAAAATTTAATACAAATAGTGCATTTGTGAAATTAAAAAACAAAATTCCCAAGAATGAGTAAATATAACATAACAAATAAAATAAATTTTTCTGGTTTACTGTCAGAAAGCTTTTGTCATAGTAGAAGTGACTGCCTAATTAGCCAGGTCTAAAGTAAACCCTGCTTGTTGGGGTTAATGAATGGTAATTTTTTTAATTTTTCAGAGCAGGACTTTTGTCTAAGGTCTAAGATCTGGCGATATGTTGTGGGTCTGAGTATTCAGGGTTGAGTGCATGTAAATGGTGATCAGATTCGATTTCTGAAATGATTGGTCCTTCTTAAATGATTGGTCCTTCTCTGCCAACATGCTTCAGTCTCTATGCTCTGTATGTTGCCCAGAGGCAGGAAATAGATATTTGACAGCAGAAAGTGATCACAGCAAGACTCAGGCTTTCTCAGGTTAACAGACAGCAGCGTAATCAGAACTGTCTACAGGGCTCAGACACAACACCCATTTTTCTGAATCAAGCCAAAATGTGTGACARTTTGGCATTGTATTTCAGACGGTTTAGAGCAGATCCTGAGCCTGACACTGTATTTGTGCATGATAAACCAACWTTGATAAAGAGATGTAGGGATGCACAGCTGACAACAGCTACTGGTAACTCAGCATAAAAGTGAACTGAAGCTGTATGAAAAGAACATTTGTTATTTATCAGGATTATCAAATGCAGTCCATATCAAACACAGCTTTTCATTCTGAGCRGTAGCATACCTCTAAGGCTTTTCATGCCTGCTCATTTTTGTTGAAGAGCAACTGGAAATAAATCAATAAACAAAAGGAGAGACTCATGGATCAAAAGGGGCATACATGTTATTGTCAGCATGCAAACCAACTCATAGCTACATGCTTCATAACTGCATCAATTACTGGACAGCACCATTTTCAGGCCATGCAACAGCATTTGTACTAGGACAGGACTGGGGTCCCCTTGGCTCCCTGGCATCTTATCAATTTTCCCATTCTGATTGGTCTTATGACATCTTACATTTGCCTAAATATAATTGAATGCATAACAASATTTGTGCACATAGGTTATGTAAGTATATATTTTGTGGTTATTATTCCGTGAATGTGCTCAGTAATAATGTAATTGTGTAAGCAAGAAAATTTTCTGATTAGGAAGAAGAGTATAAATATAATTTTGTTCTGCTRTAACGAGTGGTTTTGAAAAGTATTTTATCACATCACTTTTTATCACTCATTTGCAGAAATACTGAGATCTGCACTAATATTTTGTTATGTCAGAAATTAGATAAAAGGAGTCCCTCTATTTTTAAAACTTCTTCAAACCCATTGCTTCAGTTATAAAATCAAGCCCATAATTATGCAGATGATTAGGATAGATGCAGAAAGCTTACAAATTCTTTACAGTCTAATTGTTAGTAGTCAAGACAGTAAGCAAAAAGAGGGGGAGAAAAGAGTGAAATTAGTCGTGTAAGTATTTTTAACTCAGTCAAAAACCTRAAAAAAGTATATGAGGCACCTTTTTGCTGCCACCCTTTGGAAAGGTGTACGATTTGATTCTTGAGATAATTCCACCTCCTGCCCAACTCTAGAAACCACAATGTCAAAGAGGAACAGTAAATGTGTCATGAAAATAGCTAAAGGTATTTCACAAAACAAAAATACAAGAAGAAAACACTCCCAGCCTTTCTGTTGCGCGTGCCTTCAAGTACACAYATGATACATCAAACAAATCTAAGATAGGAAATCTTAGTACTAAATTTTCTTTCATCTGTATTACTGTCAAACCATCCTGAACCATAGACAGACACACCTTAAGGCAGTTTTTATATTCAAACACATTGTCCTTTTTCTGTATCTTCATTTATAAGTATGTTTCACATTTCTCCTGCCCCTCTTACTGAACTTGAGCCACCCTCCCCCATCCCCTGAATGTATTTAGCAATGTAAATGAGCCTGATATCTTTTGTGCCTGAAGTGTGACTAATGTATC